AAGAGCAGATGTCGAAGACTGCCCCCTTTGTCCTATGTGCGCACAAGGGCCTCTGAATCTGCACACCACGTATCAAGGGGGTGACGGCCAGCATACACTGAGGAAAGAGACAGCATCCAAACAAAGCAGCCCCCTGACTCTGGAAAAGATGGCAGAGTAGAAGGACGTGAGCTCACCTCTTCTCATGAAGTGGCTTCCTTGCTGTCTCAGACGATAAAGATCCTGCCTGCAATGTACAAGGCCAGGGCTAGATTCCTGGGTTGGAAAGATCCCCTGGAGAAGGGAATGGCTATCCACTCCAGTATTCATGCCTGGAGAGTATAATGGACAGAGAAGTCTAGAAAGCTAAAGACCATAGGGTTGCAAAGAGTCAGACACGACTGAGCGACTAACACTTTCACATCTCATGAAAACACCAAAATCACAACTGCTAAACAATCATCTACAAAACAGTGGAACCTACCAAAAAAGGTATTTTACAATCAAGTCAAAAAGATGGTGGAGTAGAAGGACATGCGCTCATCTTCTCTTGCAAGAACACCAAAATCACAACTAGCTGCTGAACAATCATTGACAGGAGAATGTTGGAACCCACCAAAAAAAGATACTCCATATCCAAGGGCAAAGGAGAAGCTGCAGCAAGACAGCAGGAGGGGTGCAATCATGTTTAAAATCAAACTTCATGCCTGTCAGAGACTCCTGGAAGGCACAGAGAAAACCTTTTGCACATTAAGATGCAGGGAAAGGAACAGTGATCCCCAGGAGAGACTGAGCCAGACCTGCCTGTGACTGTCTGAGGGTCTCCTGTGGAGGCACTGGTCAGCAGTCGCCTGCTGAGGGGTCAGGAACACTGACAGCAGCAGTCCTAGGAGGTGTGGGGTGTGGCATAAATCCTCCCGAGGAGGCTGCCACTGCATGCTAAGTCACTTTGGTCATATCCGACTCTTTGCTACCCTATGGACTGTAGCCCTCCAGACTCCTCTGTTCATGGGATTCTTCAGGCAAGAATACTGGAGTGGGTTGCCACTTCCTCCTGCAGGGAAAATTCCCAACCCAGGGACTGAACCCCCGTCTCTCATGTCTCTTGCACTGGCAGGCAGGTCCTTTACCACTAGCGCCATCCCCCATCTGGGAAGAGCGGCCAGGTGGGCAATACATAAACGGGAGAACAGTTATACCAAAGAAGTTCTCATGCTGCTGCAAAAGTTCTAGGCTCCACAAAAGACTTCCCAACCTGGGGATTTGGTAAAGAGACTGAGAATCCCACAGGAATTTGACTTTGAAGGCCAGTGGGATTTGATCACGGAACTCCCACAGGACTGGGGAAACAGACTTTGGAGGACACAAACAAAACCTTGTGTGCACCAGGACCCAGGAGAAAGGAGCAGTGACCCCACAAGAGACTGAGCCAGACTTGCCTGGGAGTGTCCAGGAGTCTCTGGTGGAGACGTGGGTTGACTGAGACCTGCCGCGGGGTCAGGGACACTGACAGCCGCAGTCCTGGGAGGCACGCCGTGTGGCGTTAGGTCTTCTAAAGGAGGTCGCCATTACCACCATTACCCCTACCACAGATTAAGGCCAAACTACAGGCAGAGAGCACAGCCCCACCCGTCAGCAGAAAACTGGATTAAAGACTTACTGAGCAGGGCCTTGCCCACCAGAGGAAGACCTACTTTTCTTCACAGCCAGTCCCTCCCACCAGGAAGTTTGCACAGGCCTCTTACCCACATCCGTCAGAGGGTAAACAGAATGAAAACCAAAATCCCAGAAAACTAATCAAAATGATCACATGGATCACAGCTTTGTTAACTTAATCAAACTATGAGCCATACAGTGTAGGACCACCCAAGACTGATGGTGGAGAGTTCTGACAAAACGTGGTCCACTGGAGGAGGGAATGGCAAACCACTTCAGCATTCTTATCTTGAGAAGCCCAAGAACAGTATGAAAAGGCAAAAAGATATGGCACTGAAAGATAAAACCCCCAGGTCAGTAGGTGTCCAATATGCTACCAGAGAAGAGTAGAAAAATAGCTCCAGAAGGAATGAAGAGGCTGAGTCAAACCAGAAATGAAGCCCAGTTGTGGATATGTCTGGTGGTGAAAGTAAAGAACAATACTGCAAAGGAACCTGGAATGTTAGGTCCATGAATCAAGGTGAATTGGAAGCAGTCAAACAGGAGATGGCAAGAGTGAACACTGACAATTTAGCAATCATTGAACTAAAATCTCCAGGAGTTGGTGATGGACAGGGAGGCCTGGCATGCTGTGATTTATGGGGTTGCAAAGTCGGACACAACTGAGCGACTGAACTAAAATGGATGGAAATGGTTGAATTTTAATTCAGATGACTATTCTATCTACTACTGTGGGCAAAAATCCATTAGAAGAAATGGAGTAGCCTGCAGAGTCAAAAAATGAGTTCATCCTGCAGTATTGGGCGCACTCTAAAAAATGACAGGAAAATCTCAGTTCATTTTCAAGGCAAACCAATATCATAGTAATCCAAGTTTATGCCCCCACCACAAATGCTGACGAAGCTGAAGTTGAACGGTTCTATGATGACCTACAAGACTTGCCAGAACTAACACACACACACACACACACACACACACACACACACAAAAAGATGTCCTTTTCATCATAGAAGTCTGGAATGCAAAAGCAGGAAGTTAAGAGATATTTGGAATAACAGGCAAGTTTGGTCTTGGAGTACAAAATGAAGCAGGGCACAGGCTAACAGAGCTCTGCACAGAGAACGCACGGGTCATAGCAAACACCCTCTTCCAACAACACAACAGACGACTCTACACATGGACATCACCAGATGGTCAATACCAAAATTAGACTGATTAGATTCTTTGCAGCCTAGGTGGAGAAGCTCTATACAGTCAGCAAAAACAAGATCAGGAGCTTACTGTGGCTCAGATCACAAACTCCATATTGCAAAATTCAGGCTTAAACTGAAGAAGGTAGGGAAAACCACTAGGTCATTCAGTTATAAGCTAAATCAGATCCCTTATGATTTATACAGTAGAAGTGACAAATAGATGCAAGGGATTAGATCTGATATATGAGTGCCAGAAGAGCTATGGACAGAGGTTTGCAACACCGTAAATGAGGCAGGGACCAAAATCACCCCCAAGAAAAAATGCCACAAGGCAAAACTGTTGTCTGACCAGGCCTTACAAATAGCTAAGAAAAGAAGAGAAGTGAAGGCAAAGGAGAAAAGGAAAGATAAACCCATCTGAATGGAGAGTTACAAAGACTATCAAGGAGAGAGAAGAAAACCTTCTTAAGTGAAGAATGCAAAGAAACAGAGGAAAACAATAGAATGGGAAGGACTAGAGACCGCTTCAAGAAAATTAGAGATACCAAAAGAACATTTAATGCAAAGATGGACACAATAAAGGACAGAAAGGGTATGGGACCTAACAGAAGCACAAGATATTAACAACAGGTGGCAAGAATACACAGGAGAACTATACAAAAAAGATCTTAATGACTCAGATAAACACGAAGGTGTGATCACACATCTAGAGCCAAACATTCTGGAGTGTGAACTCAAGTGGGCCTTAGAAAGCATTACTATGAACAAAGCTAGTGGAAGTGATGGAATTCCAGCTGAGCTATTTCAAATCCTAAATGATGATGCTGTGAAAGTGCTGCACTCAATATGCCAGCAAATTTGGAGAACTCAGCAGTGGCCACAGGAGTGGAAAAGGCCACTTTTCAGTTTTCATTCCAATTCCAAAGAAGGGTAGTGCCAAAGGATGTTCAAACTACTGCACAACTGTACTCATTTCATATGCTAGAAAGGTAATGCTCAAAATCCTTCAGGTTCAGCTTCACCTGTATGTGAATGGAGAGGTTTCAAATGCACAACCTGAGTTTACAAAAGGCAGAGGAACCAGAGATCAAATTGCGAACATCCGTTGGATCACAGAAAGAGAATTCCAGAAAAACATCTGCTTCATTGACTATGCTAAAGCCTTTGACTGTGTGGATCACAACAAACTGTGGAAAACTTTTAAAGAGATGGGAATACCAGACCATTTTACCTGCCTCCTGAGAAACCAGTATGCAGGTCAAGAAGCAACAGTTAGAAATGAACATGAAACAATGGACTGGTTCAAAATTGGTAAAGGAGTACATCAAGGCTGTATACTGTCACCCTGTTTATTTAACTTCTATTTATAGTATATCAGGCAAAATGCAGGGCTGGATGAAGCACAAGCTGGAATCAAGATTGCTGGGAGTAATATCAGTAACCTCACATATGCAGATGACACCATCCTAATGGCAGATAGCAAAGAGGAACTAAAAAGCCTCTTGATGAGGGTGAAAGAAGAGAGTGAAAAAGCTGGCTTAAAACTCAACTTTCAAAAAATGAAGATCAAGGCACCTGCCACTTCATGGCAGATAGATGGGAAAACAAGGGAAACAGTGACAGACTTTATTTTCTTGGGCCCCCAAACCACTGCAGATGGTGACTGCAGCCATGAAATTAAAGGGGGCTTGCTCCTTGGAAGAAAAGCTATGACAAAACTAGACAACATTAAAAAGCAGAGATGTCACTTTGTCAACAAAAGGTCTATAGTCAAAGGTACTTTTTTTCTGGTAGCTATGTATTGATGTGAGAGTTGGACCATAAAGAAGGCTAAGCGCTGAAGAATTGATTCTCAAGCTGTGGTGCTGGAGAATACTCCTGAGAGTCCCTTGGACTGCAGAGAGATCAAACCAGTCAATCCTAAAGGAAATCAACCCTGAATATTCACTGGAAGGACTGAGCTGAAGCTGGACCTCCAATACTTTGGTCACCTGATGCAAAGAGCCAACTTATTGGAAAAGACCCTGATGCTGGTAAAGACTGAAGGCAAGAGGAGAAGGGGCAACAATGGATTAGATGGTTGGATGCTATCATTGACTCATTGTACATGAATTTGAGCAAACTCTGGGAGGCAGAGCAGGACAGGAGAGCCTGCCATGCTGCAGTCATGGGGTCGCAAAGAGTCAGACATGACTAAATCACTGAACTACAACAACAACAACAAAAACAAAAATCATGAGTCCCGCTTGGTGCTCCTTGCCTGCCACCTGTGCGCCCAGTCCTCCCGGTCCGCACTGCCCACCAGCCAGCCGGTCCCCCACCACAACCACAGATGCCATCAAGAAGAAGATGCAGATGTTAAAACTGGACAAGGAGAATGCCTTCGACCGCGCAGAGCAGGCCAAGGCCGACAAGAAGCAAGCTGAGGACCGCTACAAGCAGCTAGAAGAGGAGCAGCAGGCCCTCCAGAGAAAGTTCAAAGGGATGGAGGACGAGGTGGAAAGTATTCTGAGTCACTGAAGGATGCCCAGGAGAAGCTGGAGCAGGCTGAGAAGAAAGCCACTGACGCTGAGGCAGATGTGTACTCCCTGAACCGCCGCATTCAGCTGGTAGAGGAGGAGCTGGATCGGGTGCAGGAGCATCTGGCTACAGCCCTGCAGAAGCTGGAGGAGGCTGAGAAGGCAGCTGATGAGAGGGAGAGAGGAATGAAGGTCATCAAAAACCGAGCTATGAAGGATGAGGAAAAGATGGAGCTGCAGGAGATGCAGCTGAAGGAGACCAAGCACATTACTGAGGACTCACACCGCAAATATGAGGAGGTGGCCAGGAAGCTGGTGATCCTGGAAGGAGAGCTGGAGCACTCCGAAGAGAGAGCTGAGGTGGCTGAGAGCTGAGCCAGGTGGCTGGAGGAGGAACTTCGAACCATGGATCAGGCCCTCAAGTCCCTGATGGCCTCAGAGGAGGAGTATTCCACCAAAGAAGATAAATATGAAGAGGAGATCAAACTGCTGGAGAAGCCAAAGGAGGCTGAGACCTGAGCAGAGTTTGCTGACAGGTTGGTGGCACAGTTGGAGAAAACCATCGATGACCTGGAAGAGACCTTGGCCAGTGCCAAGGAGAACGTGAAGATCCCCCAGACCCTTGACCAGACACTGCTGGAGCTCAACAACCTCTGAGGGCTGGCCCTGCCCCCAGCCAGGATAGCTGCCACCCCAACCAATAAAACTGATGTTACCAGCAAAACAACAACAAAAACCACTAGTACTGAAATTGAAACAATGATTAAAAACTTCAAACTAACAAAAGTACAGGACCAGATGCCTTCACAGATGAATACTATCAGTTAGAGAAGAGTTAACACCTGTTCTTCTGAAAGACTTTTCAAAAAACTGCAGAGGAAGGAACATTTCCAAGCTCATTCTACAAGGCGACCATCACCCTGACAGAAAAACCAGACAAAGATACCACAAAACAAGAAAATTACAGTCATCATCACTGATGAACATAGAGGCAAAACTACTCAACAAATTCTAGCAAACTGAATGCAACAGTACATTAACAGCACTATACATCATGATCAAGTGGGACTTATCCCAGGAATGCAAAGATGCTTCAATATCCACAAATCAATCAGTGTGATACACCACATCAACATATTGACAAATAAAAACCATATGATCTTCACAATAGATGCAGAAAAAACGTTTGATAATATTCAACACCCATTGATGATAAAAACTCTCCAGAAAGTGGGCATAGAGGGACTTACCTCAACATATTTAATGCTATATACTGACTAGCATTATAAAGCAAGAAAACAGGAAAGGGTTAACATACTTGAAAAATAGGGCAACCACAAATCAAAAACATACAACAATTTCACAAAAACCTAAAAGAAGAGGAACACAAGCATAAGATAAAATCCTCAAACCACAAGAAGAATAACAAAAAAGAAAAACAAAGAGAAAACAAAGAATCACCTGGGAAACAAGGTTTGAGATGGCAATATATGTATCAATGAAAGAAAGTCACTATGAAAGTGAAAGTTGTTCAGTTGTGTCTGACTCTTTGGGACCCCATGGACTATACAGGCCACAGAATTCTCCAGGCCAGAATACTGGAGTGCTTAGCTGTTCCCTTCTCCAGGGGATCTTCCCAACCCAGGGATTAAACCCAGGTCTCCTGCACTGCAGGCAGATTCTTTACCAGCTAAGCCACCAGGGAAGCCTATGTATCAATAATTACCTTAAATGTCAATGGACTGAATGCTGCAATCAAAAGACACAAAGTGGCAGACTGGGTAAAAAAAAATAAAACAAGAGCCTACAATACTGCTGCCTACAAGAGACCCTCTTTAGGGTAAAGGACACATAGATTAAAAGTGAGGGGATGGAAAAAAATATTTCATGCAAACAGAAATGACAAGAAAATGGGACTTGCAAAACTCTCATTAGACAAATAGACTTTAAAATAAAGACTATAAAGAAAGATAAAGAAGGACATTATAAAATGACAAAAGGATCAATACAAAAGAGGACATCACACTCACCAACTTTTACACACCTAATACAGGATCACCCAAATACATAAAACAAATACATCTTTTAGGGCTTCCCAGGTGGCTCAGTGGTAAAGAACCCACCTGCCAGGCAGGGGAGACAGTTTGGGTGGCGAAGATCCCCTGGAGAAGGAAACAGGAACCCACTACAGTATTATTGCCTGGGACATCCCATGGACAGAGATGCTTGGCGGGATTTCCCCTGGCATGGGTTTCAGAAGAGTTGGACACAGCTTAGCAACTAAACAACAACAACAACAATATTGGACATAAAGGGAGACATTGAGGGGAACACAATAATAGCAGAAGACTTAAGACCCCACTCACATCTTCTAGACAAGGAATTAATAAGGCAACAGAGATCCTAAATGATAAAACAGAACCATTAGACTGACATTTCATCCAAAGGAAACAGAATATACGTTCCTTTTAAGTGCACATGGAACTTTCTCTAGGACTGACCACATACTAGGGCACAAAACTATCATTGATAAATTTAAGAGTACAGAAATTACTTCAAGCATTTTCTCTGACCACAATGATACAAAACTAGAAATCAACCATGGGGAAAAAATGAGGAAAAAGCAATTACATGGAGACTAAATAAAAAGGTACTAAAAAAAACAATAGTTCAACAAGGAAATAAAAATGGAAATTAAAAAATACCTTGAGACAAACGACGATGAAAACACAACCATTAAAAAAAAAAAAAAAACATGGGACACAGTCAAGAGCAGTTCTTAGAGGGAAGTTCATAGGAATACAAACCTTCATCAAAAAAACAAGAAAAACCTCAAATGAACAACCTAACCTATGACCAAAAAGAATTAGAAAAAACAAGAAGAAACAAAGGAGAACAAGGGTACCCCAAATGGATTAAAGATTTAAATGTTAGTCTGGACACTATAAAACTCCTATAGGAAAATGTAGGCAGAACCTTCTTTGACATAAATCACAGCAATATTTTTTGGATCCACTTCTTAAGAGTAATGAAAAGAAAAACAAAGATAAACAAATGGTACCTAATTAAACTTAAAAGTTTTGCACACCAAGGGAAATCATAAACAAAACAAAAAGACAACCTAGGAGAAAATATTTGCAAACTATGTGACCAATGTAGTTTTTCCAGTAGTCATGTACAGATGTGAAAGTTGGACCATAAAGAAGGCTGAGTGCTGAAGAACTGATGCTTTCAATTGTGGTGCTAGAGAAGACTCGAGAGAGTCCCTTGGACTACAAAGAGATCAAACTAGTCAATCCTAAAGGAAATCAACCCTGAATATTCACTGGAAGGACCAATTCTGAAGCTGAAGATCCAATATTTTGGTCACCTGATGTGACAAGCTGGAAAAGACCCTGATGCTGGGAAAGACCGAGGACAGAGAAAGAAGAGGGTAGTAGAAGATGAGATGGTTAGACAGCATCACTGACTCAATGGACATGAATTTGAGCAAACTCTTGGAGACAGTGCAAGACAGGGGAGCCTGGCATGCTGCAGTCCATGGGGTTGCAAAGAGTCAGACATGACTTAAGTGATTGAACAACAACATGACCAACAAGGAATTAATTTCCAAAATAAACATGCTCTTGGATTGGAAGAATTAATATCATTAAAATGACAATACTACCCAAAGCAATTTATAGATTTAAGGCAACCCCAATCAAATTACCTATGTCATTTTTTCATACAATGAGAACAAAGAATCTGAAAATTTACATGGAAACACAGAAGACCCAGAAATACTACAGCAATCCTTGACTGGGGAGAGAGGGGAAGCAGGAGGTATAACTCTCCCAGATTTCAGATAATACTACAAAGGCATTGTAATTAAAACGGTGTAGTATTGGTACAAAACCAGTCATGCGGATCAATGGAACAGATTAGAGAGTCCAGAAATAAACTTGTACACCTATGGTTAATTATTCTTTGACAAAGGCTGCAAGAATATAAAACAAGAAAAAGTCTCTTCAGTAAGTGGCACTGGGAAAGTTGGACAGCTGCATGTAAATCAATGCAATTAGAACGCACCATCACACCATGCACAAAAGTAATCTCAAAATGGCTTAAAGACTTAAACATAACTTTAACATGACACCATAAAATTCCTTATGAAAAAAACATAGGCAAAACATTCTCTGACACAGTACCAATATTTTCTTAGGTCAGCCTCCCAAGGCAATAGAAATAAAAACAAAAATAAACAAACGGGACCTAACCCCAAGCTTTTGCACAGCAAAGGAAGCCATAAAAAAAGTAAGTAAATGAAAAGACAACCTACAGAACGGGAGAAAATATTTGCAAATGATGTGCCAGACAAGGGCTATTTAATCTCTAAAATACACAATAATAAAAATCACAAACCAATAAAAAAATGGGCAGAACTCAACAGACATTTCTCCAAAGAAGACAAACAGATGACCAGTAGGCACATTAAAAGATGCTCAACATCACTAATTATTAGAGAAATAAAAAATTAAAACTATAATGAGGTACTGGTACCACCTCATACCAGTCAGAATGGCTAGCATTAGAAAGTCTACCAATAACAAATGTGAGAGGATGTGGAAAAAGAGAACCCTCCTACTCTGTGGGTGAGAATGTAAACTGGTGCACCTACTATGGAAAACAGTGTAGAGGTTCCTCAGAAAACTAATATTACCATATGATCCAGACATCTCACACCTGGGCATATGCCCAGACAAAAATATAATTCAAAAAGATACATGCACCCCTTATGTTCATAGCAGCACTACTCATAATAGCCAAAACATGGAAATAATCTCAATGTCACTGACCGATGAACTGATAAATATGTATGCATACTTACATACACAATGGGGTACTACTCAGCTATAAAAAAGAATGAAATAATGCCATTTGCAGTAACTGGTACAAGTAGAGATATCACACTGAGTGACATAGTCAGAAAGAGAAAGACCATATATCACTTACACATGGCATCTAAAATATGGCACAAATGAACCTATCTGCAAAACAGAAACAGACTCACAGACATAACAGAACAGATTTGTAGTTGCCAAGGGAGAGGTGGGCGGGAGAGGAGGGAAGGACAGGAAGTTTGGGATTAGCAGATGTAAACTCTTAAACAGAGGAAGTATAAACAACAACATCCTACTGTACAGCACAGGAAACTGTATTCAACATCTTGTGATAAACAATAATGGAAAAGAATGTTTTAAAAAGAATGTACATGTATAACTGAGTGACGCTGCTAAAAATCATGACACTGTAAATCAACTATACTTCAATTAAACAAAATTAAATTGTTTTTTTTAAAAAAGATAACATTCACAGATAAAAGTTAACAACAGATTGCAAATATGTCCAAAGGGCCAAAATAAATTTAGGATGTTTTATCCACTTACCACATTCAGAAAGTTTCAACTTCACTGGCATGCAACCCTTTATACTATAGCCTCAACCTGAGAGTCATTTGTGACTTTGGAGTACACCTTGTATTCTAAACAACTCCCTGTAACAAATGACTTGACCAAAACTAGTAAGTATGGATATTCATCTTCCTTTGCTTCTACAAACCACTCTAAGCTCACTATCAAACATGAAGACATGGTCCAAATTTCAAAGCAGATATAAGCTGAGAACAGCAGCAAACCAGTAAACAACTTTAAGTAATATCCTTTCAATAAAAGTAGTTACTAATTA